TTCTGGCTGAAGAATATAAATTCTAGTTATGCCCAAATGACTTGGGTTTGTGTAGTCTCCTTCATCCACACGCCATCGAGAATCTACAATGTCACAGTTACATAGAAGTGAAGTATTTGCACATTCATGCTTTTCTGCACATTTGCATCCTTCTGACTGGCTGCCTATGCTTGTAATGTATTCATGACTACCCGATGATTTCATCCAAGTATAAGTCCGTAAGCTTAAAAAAATATTAAAAAAAACTAATTAAAAATTTAATAATTCTATTAATGACATTAAATGATTATTACTCTGCATATACTTTTATTAAAATTACAAAACTAAATTTAAATTGTTTATAACTATTTGTATAATGTAAAGGAAGTGTTGTAATCGTGAAAAATTTTGGTTACCATATTTCAATGAAAATATCCACTTCAACCACTCTAATCTATTTCAAAGATGTTTTTGCACGACATCAGTATGCATGGACAGAATAAAGAACTCTGTTTTCAAAACAGATTGTAAAATGGGTTTAGAAGAGATTTCTTCATGATGTTCTGGTAAAGATTTGTTGTAGGATTAACAAGAATTTAAAATTTGTTTATATGGTACTAAGCCTAACAAGACCGCCATTAGTTTACATTTGAAATTCTTAGTTGAATAGTGAATTAAGTTGGCTTGTGCAGCAACTTCAGTGTCCTTTCGCTGAGTTGGATCAAAAGTAAACTTTCAATTTTTCGCACCAAAAAATCTGTCTTCCTCACTGGCTAAAATGCTTGTTTTTGCATAGAAACTATAATTTTATTTGTAAAAATTGTTTCTTTCAACTGTTTTTAACTGTACTTCGTGTTTTACGTTTTTCTGTATTTTACAATTTTTAACAATGCTCTAAGTTTTTATGTATTTTTGACTTACCAACAAATAAAAAACTGAATTAATTGAATGATAAATATATCTGTAACGAAATTCCAGGAAATAAGTTTAAATGAAATGAAGCAAAAAATGTGTATAATTTAATAGGCCATACAAGGGAGTCATGTGGTGTCCACATCAGACTTTGTTATTTAAATTTACAAATAATCATAATGGAATTTTACATTAGACTCACATTCGCGCAGACTGTCCCAGTCCAGTAGGCGGACAGCTCAGTTTCTAGTGATTTTATGTTCGAAGTTATTTTAACTGATTTAGGTACCCTCAGGTACACAAAAATGTCCATTTTTAGGACACCATCGTCTAAAACAGACGAAGAAGATACTGATACGGATTTAGATAGATCTTTCAGATCAACGAAGTCACACAAGCTAAGGAAAGAAGATTTCATCAAATCTCCGAAAAAGAAAATCAAGAAAGCAAAAACGGCAAGGAATGTACAGGAAGAATTACTTGAAGTGCTGAAGACTAGGTACAATACGGATAACATATATGATCTATCTGTTCAGGAGCAAGCGGATTTAATACCAAAATTTGGCTTAGAAGCAATCAAAAAGATGACAACCGAGCAGGAAGTCTCTGTATTATTTTGAGAAAGAAACAGGAAAACAAGGAGCAGAAGCAGAGCAGGAAGAAAAAGATAAGGGAACAAACTATAAAGAAGGAGAATGGAAATCACCAAAGAAATTTGCAAAACCACCCCAAGACTCAGAACCAATGGAAATTGAAAAAAAAAAATCGCTTCGAAAGATTAGATCCTGAAATTAACGCTGCAGAAGGAGGAGCCACAGAAGATGAAACTCCGCCCCCATAGTATTTCAGCAAGGACAAATCGACTGGATTAAAGTTGAAGGATATCTAAGAGAAAACTGCATTGATGAATTTGAAGCACAAATGAAGGGTCAAACTATCTTCATTCAGTTGAAAGGTGCAGAAGAGTATCATGCAATTACAGAAATGCTTAACAAGCGAGGGGTACCTTTCCACACCTACCAACTAAGCTGGGAAAAGCCAATAAAAGTAGTACTGAAAAATTTACCTGATAAAACCCCTGAAGAGTCAATCTTTGAAGATCTTCAAAGAAAGAAATTTCCGATCGTAAAAATTAAACAATTCCAAAGATCTCGCAAAACAATTTCGAGAAACTCCCAATGTGGCTGCTAGAATTAAAGAAAACCACAAATGGACAAGTGATTTACAGCCTCATTAATATGTTCAGCATAAATATCAGCATTGAAAAATGGAATCCTAAGAAAAGACCTACGCAGTGTTTTAGGTGCCAGGAGTGGGGACACTCCCAGCACCTACGCACAAACCCAGAAATATGCTGTAAATGCGGTGGACTGCACAGAAGCAATGTTTGCACGTTAAAAGAAGAAGAAAAACCCACCTGCATTTTCTGCAAAGAAAAACATGTTTGTAGCTATCGTGGATGCCCTGAATACCGATGCGAATTTGAGAAAAAACCAGAGCAGAAAACTAAACCTTCCATCCCAAAAGCAGAAGACTTCCCGCAATTAATTGCTGCTGAAATATCTGAAGAAAAACCTAGTAGAAAACTCTACAGTGAAAAAACACGGTCAAGAAAGGCTGAAATCCCAAATGAATTCAATGAAGCAGTTCATAGCTCCAAGATGAAAAAGTCCAAAAGTTGTTAGGAACCATCATCGAACATATTGATCGTATCAAAAAAGTAAAGACTACCTTAGAAAAACTAACTGCAGGATTTAAAGCAGCCATATGAATTGTACAAATTTCAGAAGATGAAAATTAAACATGCCTTTCAAATAATTATGCAGAATATTACAGGACTTTATTTTACTTTCACAAAAATATAACTCAATTCACAGCCCACTGTTTTCAAGCAGCATCTCACGGGATCAGTTCTTGGGAGGGTGACCTCTCACGTGACTGACTTCGGCGAATAACCTTTCAACACCTATAGACAGGATTTTTGCCATTAGTGAAAGGACTTCTCCTCACTCCAATGCAGTAAACAGAAGCTTGACCTCGAGGCTTTGCCATCCCGACCATCCTTTGTCTTCGGACATGGTCTTCATGCACCCTTGATCTATTTTAAAAATTACGAGCGGCCAATGGCCTACCTGATATATTGGTAAAAACTCTTTTGTAGAGACTATTAGTGAAATTGACGATTCAAGATTTATGGAATTTTACCTTTAGGCAGATAAAAACAAAAAATCAGCAAATATTATTTTAGCTACCATCACTGACATTAAAACAGTTTCTCTTCATTGATCATACAGATTTCTAAAAACCAATGTTGTTACTTGATTAGGATTCAAGTATGCTTAATTATGATAAAAATTTAGAATTTGCCTATGAAAGAGGTACAAGTTTGAACTATTTGGTTGTAACAAAAGTTTTCCCCTAAAAAAAAAATTCTTAATAAAGTTAGGGGGAATGAAAGCAGTACCTTTAGTGCAGGTAGTAATCACCACCCAAATCTTTGATTTTCTGCCAATGTTTTGGTAGATTTTTCAAAACTTCAGCCCAGAAACCTGGTGGCTGTAAGTCCAAAAACAGATCAACCTCATTATGTGCATCCTGAGCAAAATGGGAGATAGCACCAGCAAGATCTAGACCTGCAGGTGTGAAAAAAAGTAGAGATCCGAAGGAGCAATTCAGAGCTATATAATGGGTGTGGGAAAAAATCTTGAGTTCATACCGAGTCCAGCTGATGAAGGCGTGACATTTTATGTCTTTTATTTAACTATTTATCATGCAGTTAATCATTTATTAATTTTTTAATTATATCAAAATATTTTACTGAAATTTAATATTTAAATTATTAGTCATCTTGTTTTTTATTATTTATTTTATTAATTTTTACGCCTTCCTGACAGCCTTCCATAGAGCTCCGGCACTCCTGATTTTAGAAATTAAGCCCTGTGAATGCAAATATATGTGGTCTTGCATTAAACAACACAAATGAAGGAACATTACCTTTTTGTACTGGAACTCAGTTCGACGTTTTTCCTTAAAAGCAGTGTAAACACAGACTAGCATCTCGCTCTCCACCTTACTATTGATGTTTTTAACTTTTTCAGATACTCTTTGCGTATAATACCATGAGATCCAACTAGATACAAAGGATGATCTTTTTATTAGTCAAACTGCACTTTGGGACACTGCCAAATGGCTCACCAGGCACAGACCAACCCCCTCTTCAGCCTGTGTTGTTGAAGTAAATCCACTTTTCCTCACAAGTGATGATCTGGTCCAGAATTTTGTCCTCATATTGATATTCGAGCAGATTAGTGCAGGTCCGAACATGTCTGTCTTTATCTGCTAGAGTCAGCTAATGCGTCACTCAGTGATTGCACCTGTACGTCAAGTTTATGTGATGCATAACGCAACTAATGTCTAACTCCTTAGCAAGTTCTCTAGTGGTTACATACTGATCTTCTACCACAAGTTCTCGCAGGCAGGCCTCATCAACATAAACAGGCCCACCACAGCACTCTGCTTCTCAGGGGCATAGCTAGAGGGGTGCAAGGGGGGACATCTGTCCCCGGGTGCAGAAAATCTAAGGGGTGCCAAACTGATGTTATAACATTTTAGAATTAAATGTTTTCTATCCTTGGCAAGCAGCAGGGGGCACGAAATCTTCAGTTGTCCTTGGGCGCTGATAACCCTAGCTACGACTCTGCTGCTTCTTGAATGGCTAGTCCTTGTTTTTGAACTTTGGTACCAAACTTTTACAGTGTCATATGATACAATGCTAGTACCTAAAGCTGTAAACATGATTTGGTGACATTCTGTAGCTGACTTTTTTTCAACAGAACTGGAAGTAAATGATGGTTCTAATCTCTTAGTGTGATAGTTCTATTTCAGATACCTTTACTTAATGATAGCAATACTTTTTCATAAATTTCACAACACAGTACTCTAAAAGCAAGTCTCTTTCTTTCAAATGCCAAAAATCGTTTTACAAAATATGATTAAATATGCCAATGCAAACTGTTTGCACAGATGATATTTGTGGTGGCGGGAAAATTTTGTTAAAACCTGATATTTTTTAAAGCAGTTCAGGAGAAATGCAAAATGGTATAACAATAAACATCGAGGAACAAGTCACCATCACATGGAATAATTTTGTTAAAGCCTGATATTTTTTAAAGCAGTTGAGAACAAATGCAAAATGGTGTAACAATAAACATCGAGGAAAAAGTCACCATCACATGGAATATTATCTGCCTGAATTCATGTGGAGACGAGAAAGAGATGATCTGCATAAAAAAAGTTTAATAATGTTAAAAATTTCTGCTTTTAATTAAAATATGAAGAGAGTAGGTTTTTCTGTTTCTGATCACAAATGCTACTTTTATATTTAAATTTTTTAAAAAAAATTTACCAATGGCATTATTTCTCAGTTATTTATTTTTTGTATTTTAAATAAAATAAAGATTTTTTTTATTTATTATTTATTTATTTAAAAGTTTTTATTTTATTTTTTGAATGTGTAGTTTGCTTTCTGATGTTGTTGCTTTAATAAATCTTTAAAGAAAGATTGTGAAGTGCATCATCGCCAGAAAAGAAAAGTCTCTGCTGTTGGTGAAATCTGTATTTACCTAAAGGCAAGTGCTTGATAAATAAATCATATGAAATTAATTTATATGATCCAAATAACAGAGAAAATTCCACTATTTCATACAAAGAGGTGAGTTTTAATAATAAAAATAGATAGTTTTCTACCACTTTTCTGCATATTCTTTCTCAATTGCTGAAATCCATTAATCCATTAACTACGTACGGTTTAAATGTATAAACATAATAAAGCTATGTGAAATAATTACAATATTTAAAATCAACTTACCCTAATGGTGTCTTGAAACATTCATATTTTATGTTTTGACTGCATGCTTTTGAATGTTTTACAAGCGACTGTAACATAGTTGGCGTAAATTCCCTGTATGTGACATCAATGTAAAATGACTGCATCCCAGCTTTTCTTACAACCTAAGATAAATAAAAGGACAATAAATACTGATAGCGCACCATTGAAATAAAGAAGAAATATATATATAATAAAGAAGAAATTTACTAATTTCACTAATTCACTGGTGAGTCATTTTATTAATTTTATTTAATGAAGGCATTATAACCAGAAAAAAGGATAATTATGAGTAGGCATTAAAACCAGAAAAAAGGATAATTATGAGTAAGATTTTAGAGGGGTAGGGGAAGGGGGATTTTTTTCCCTTGTAAAAGTACGTCAATGTTTTGTCAGGAGAGTCAAAGCAAAATTTATTTCATTTCTCAAATTTGAATTTTGAGAAAGAGAAAATCATGAATAAGATTCCCCCCTTCTCTTTTCATGTAAAGCACACCAGAACTTTTATCAAAGGGGGTGTAATGAAACATCAGCATTTTATTACTTTTATCTAATAATAAAATACAATTAATAATAGTTTCAATCTTTACTATATCATTTTCAATGCACTCATTTCTTCAGTGCAGTGAAAAGAATTTTTTAATAAGAAGTATTAATTTCAAGATTCCTAAATATTAATACTCAATATTAATTAATTAATTTCCAGATTCCTACATATTCCTAAATACTAGTAATATAACAGGTCTTTGCATGAGGAAAGAAGTACTTTTCTGTCATGTGCCTGTCATATTTTTTGGCACATCAAGACCCAATAATAGCACCATCGCCTGGGAACTATGTGTGTACATGTGTGCATTTAATAATAAAGAATAATAAAACATACACATATTTTACAATAGTGCTACCAAAATTAGTGCACATAGCAACAATGTTTATGTCATATAAAAACAGCTAATTTTGTAAATGTACTTCAGTTTGCTGCTAATTAAAAAGTTAAATGCTAAAGTACTGATGAGAATTCCTGTTTTTGGCAATTATTATCAGTATAAAATAAAATGAAAATGAAAATGTTATTCCAAAACCTAATCACTGCTCTTGAATTAATTCTTTTCAACCCTATTTTCATTGCAACATTATGTGATATATGAATCTTTTAATGCATATATTAAACCAAAAACAAAAATTTACTACAAAAAGTGGGATTAATAAAAAGAAATCGACAGCTAAATAGAAAATCTATCTTTGCATACAATGTAATTTATGTGTATAACAATAATATTTAGAAAAAAAAATTTTTTTTGAAATAGCTTTATGTACACAGTCACTTGCCACCAAAACCCAATTCATCACCAAAATATTGCAAAATTACTTCAGATTTACCATAATTGTTTAACAATTCAACAAATAAAATCATCATAAATCTAACAAATTACAATTCTTAAATTACCTAAAACTTCAAAAAATCTAGAATGCTCTATGAGGTAGCAAACATAAAAACCAAGACATTTATTTTTAATAATAAGGGAAAAGAAAAGAGATAGTTAATAAAGCCTTGATGAAAATTATGATAACAATATTACACACCATTTCTGGAGGCATGTTATTTTCAACTCTTGTGGCAATTGTACTACCGCTTTCATCACCCATATCACAGTACACATGTGCTGGAGGTAACGGTCCATTTCTGTCAATGTCAATAGTGTAGATACCTTTCTTTCTGTATCCGACAAGATATAGTTCTTCACATGTGCGCTTATAAAGAGCTGGTTTATTTCAAAGAGATCATAAATATGTAATTCAACAGAGTTTTGAGTTAAACTGCAAAATATCTAATAAAATGTACAAAATTTTAGAATTGATTGCATATACAATTGTAAAAATAAAACTATACCTCTTTTAGGATAATTATTGAGTAAAGATGAATTGAATAAAAGGCATGCAATCTTCTATATACGTTTAAACATTTACAAATTATTTCCTTTGAAAGATTTAAAATAGTACACAAAATCTACTAACATTAGAAATTATTTAACTCACAGAAGTGGCATGTTCTTCCAGTATATCCTGTTCTCTCACAATCACAATATGTTTCACCTTTTTCAACATAGCATCGACCTCCATGCTCACAAGCTTGAGGATTATTACACAAATTGACCAATAAGCAGCTATCTAAAGATACTTTGCCAGATACTTGCTTAGTATCCACAACAGTTCTTGGATCAATCCAATCCCCAGCAACATAAATGTCTCGCATACAACCAATAAAACCTAAGAGAAAGAAACAGATTACTTGAGAAGTAGCAAGGAATAAATACTTGTACAAGATAGGGAAAACAATAAACATTATGCAGTATTTTTGAAACACTGTAATTTCTTTTTCCAGTAATAAATATTACATGTTGCTAGTAAAATTATCAAGTTCTAATAAAATTTTATATGCTGTCTCCAAAATTAAGCCAACACACGGATGCAGAAGGTCCCATCAAATCCACATTAATTCTGCACTAGATTCTTCACCTGCAGTACATAAAAATTTATCCCCAAACTTCTATAACTCACAGTATTCATAGAAAACATGAAAGAAAAAATATGGCATTACATTTGATGTTCAAAAGATAAACTTTGTTGGAAATATAAAACTGCATATTGGATGAGAATATAGATATGCATTTTATACACTTTTATGCTAGCAAAAGATGAAAACCTTCATGGTAAGTGGTAATACAAGTATACTTTTTATGCAAATGAACAGCTCTCATCTGATTTGTATTAAAGGATGACATCTAGAAGCTATTGGGTAACAGCAGTTCTTCTGTTTCCCAATGACTATGATAATAATGTATTCCACACATAAGTATTATGACAAGTTTTCCATCACTGGGCAATATTTTATGAACTGCAAGGGACTCTATCCATAGCTATCCATCAGGCTGACATCCCAATGTCAGAGCCATCCACAGTTTGCATGACAAATTGAGAAATACTGGAGACACTGTCTCCAACAATAAATCTTCACAGACACTTTGATGATAAAACTCACAGTAATCTTATGCTATCAAATTACGATACTGTGATAGGTTAAAATAGATCTGAACCCAAGTTGAATTACAGGTGTCAGCTAAAGTAATACAGCATACCAGTTAAGAAGATAGTCAAAACAAATAACAATTTTAATTAATGGGGATGCTTTTTCTGAGTTACTGCAAACCCAGGTTACTTTCTGGGTTTCTGAGTTACTAAAAGTAATGTAAAGTTGCATAAAATGTTACATATTTATGTAAATGAAAAAAAATCAAACCAAGATAAAATATCAAAAATTGACAAATTAAAAAATAATTCACCTCTTTCCGCATTTTTGGCACTTGTTGTAAGAATCATTTGACTCATAAATTCAAGAGGATGTGTAAAAGTTGCTTTAGATGCATGCCGATAATCAACTTCTAATTTCACTTCACTGTTGTGGAAGAAATCAAATAATTACTATGCAAAATGAAAATAACTACTTTTAAAGCTAACATATGAAATAATAAAGAGAGAAAAACATTATAGAAAATTTCACTTAACATACAAAATTCTCATTTATTCACACTCACAGGGATTAGTAAAACAACTGGCCAAGTGTGAAATTATTGAAAGTTTACCAAGAAATCACTTTTTGCTTGAATTAACAGAACTTTTGAATTAATGAGAATCTGCATAGAGATAAAAGGAAAAGGTTACTTATCATAATTTGCAACATTTCATGGAAAATCTTATCAGCATATCATTAAAGTAAACTGACTGAGATATAATTCCAATTGCAATGTATTTCAGAGGTTTTTATTCGTATAAAATTTGCATCTGTTTCGCCTTAAAAATTCTAAGTGTTTTTGAAAATTTTAGTCTTTAACTTTTTAGTAATAGATAAAAAGCTTTCTTACAAACAAAATTAACATCTTTTTCATTTAATTTATACATACTGCTGGCCAATGAAACTGCAACATTAACAAGGACAAAAATCTTACACATAAAGCTTTATTTTAAAGATGCATTACGGCACAAAGATGAAATCATTATTAAAATTTTCGATATGGTGATCGAACTGAATGTGCTACAATCAAACTAAATGCGGCCATGAGCAAGACTGACAACTGTAATATAGTGGATTAGAGAAACAAAAAGATTTTGGGTGACATTTTAATATATTGCACATCAGGTGACTGTAATCTGTTGCCAAATTTCATCTGTGATAGTTATTGGTGATCTAGACTATATGTGTTCAGCTAAGAAAAGATTTGGTAAATGTAATGGCCACAGTCTGCAGTATGTTTGGGAAGTATCCAACTTTGAGTGCTATGGCACTGTTCTGCTGGAAGGTGGCACAATGATGCTTCTAAAACTATGGGACAACCACAGCCATTAACACGTCTGCAATATAACACTGACTAGTCAGATGTGTATACCAGACAAGAGAAAGGCTTATATTCAATTGCAGCACAAACCATAACTCCGGTGCTAAGCCTGTAATGATAATACATAAAAAAATTGAAATGAGCACTCTCCATGTTGGCACCAGATGAACATTTATCAATAATTAATGCTGCACGGAGAAGAGAGATTTGTTTGAGAAGACTATATACATTCATTTGCATTGGTTTAATGCTTTGTTGTAGCAACAGATGCTTCAGCTATCCAGTTGAAGGTAAACAAAGCAATTGCCACCGTGCATATAGCATATGAACCTCAAAATGATATTTTCCCATTTTTACAGACCTTCTTGTTGTGTTGCTGACAGTATTTCCTTTGCCAGGGTATGTAATATAATTCTCTGCACAATATGGGTTATTTGCACAAGATGTATATTCTCTAGGGTCATACTCTAGGGTCATGTGAACTGACATGTCACTCTATCTACCTTTTCTACATCCCCAGGTTCTATACTCACATGATCAGATTTCATCCAAAATTAGTTGCAATTTGGTAGTATTACTATCTAAAATCACAACTCATAATTAGTCTCCCAAGGTCAAATTATTACACATGGTATTGCATGTTTCTTCCACAAAGTGTACGATACACTTCCAGTCAAATGAATAAGAAGACAATATGATTCCCATATGAAAAACCCATTCGCTTTTCTCTCTCACTAGGCCACTATTTATACACACCTATTATTTTCTTACATGCTGCATTGCTAATTATTTTTCGTGGCTTACTATGTACTTTATCTGTGATGGAAATTTCATATTGATTTCATATTGAATTAAATTAGATGAAAAGTCAAATCTGTTATTTATACACTGAAATATTAAAGTATTAAAATTTTCAAGAAAAGTTATGTTTTTGAAAGCAAAGCAGATGTAGTTTAATTGAATGGTGTTAATATTAAATATGATGAGCTTGAATATGTTTTTGAGTTACAGCCAAACCTTGCTATAACTAATTCCGAGAGACTGGAAGTTTGGTTTGCTATATCCTATGCAAAAAAGAAAAAGCATCATTTCACAAAAATGTATAAAAATCAAAATATGAATTAAAAAAAAGGTTTAGATTGTCGCATCTATCAAAAGAAGTGAATAATAAATTTAATTAATGCAATCATATTAAGATTTAATTATTATAATGTAGAATTATTTAATTTGTAGCCCAATACTTGAGTTTCTCTAAAGTGTCTCACAAATTCATTTACGTCTGTTTGAAGTATTTCTCTAGATACTGGCAAATTACACTTTCTTTGAAAAGTGAGCCATTTTTACAATGCTTCTTTAACATCTGTATGATCCACCTCTCTTTTTCTTCAAATCCAAATTTTTCCACATGTAGAAATTATAGTTTCTATTTTTTCATATGGTATGAATTGTAGATTTGGATACACCAATCGATCTGGCTGCATCCATTTTGTTTTTTCAAATAATGTTGTTCATCTTATCTTCAACACAGAAGGTTCACATGTGCAGTTGGCCATGTGGATAAATTTATGACACAGAGAGACACAGCACACAGAATTTATGATACAGTGCAGAGAGTTTGGTCAAACAAAGCTTGACAGAGTTTTGCTTATCTAGAAAAGATAAAAAAAGGAAGACAATTTCATTATATAAATGCCTTATCTGATGTCCAGAGAGAATACAATCATCCCCCCCCTAACATATGTGTGGTTGCAAAGCTTCAATAACCTATAAATATCCCATGCCTCACAAAAGACCTAAAGAATGCAAAACCTCTATTAGAGGGATAGAACTTAGAATATATACTCAAAAACAAATCTCTAAGATACTCTAGGATAAAAAATCCTAAAAAAAGCATCAAGTGTAAAGCTGCAAGCTTATAAGATCCAATACTTCCTCTTTCTCTGAATAATCATAGCATTATTTCTATCTGGCAGCCGATTATAAAAATTTGAATAGAATCAAAAGAACCAATTCATGTTTTTTGGTTGGATGGGTAGTACACCATATGATGTCCCAAGATATGCTTATTTTACCTTTGTTCACCTTGAACTAGGCATCACACAGCAATTTTTTTTTTTTTTTTTTTTTTTTTTAACACATAAAAGTGGGAGTGAAGACAAAAAAAATAACCTTAAATGTTTTCTTATATGAATGGAATGCAGATTTTAATACTCTAGATGTGTACATTCTTCTTTAAAACTTGCAGAAATTCAAGAAATAGTATTAAAAATACAGAAAAGATCTCAATCCAAAAATACCCATACGGTTTGTTTTATCTGATTTTTTCACTCTTGGAAGTTTGCTATTAAAGTGTAAAACAACATTAAGTGTGGAAATTGGGACAGACAGTTTTGTTCATTACATGAGGAGTTCATCATAAGCAGAGTTCATTATAGAAGGGTTTGACTAAAATAAGATTTTGTACATGCACATAATAGTATGTATATAAACTGCAAAGTATGGTATATATACACATAATAGCACACAGATAATATAGTTTTATATATACACATCAAAATATGGTAGGTTGCACACACAGCATTCAGATAATTTAAAAATTATAAAAACCAACCATAATTTAATAAATGTGTTCAAAACTCACTTTAAAAAAAAGATAGGCAATGAATGTTTAAAAAAATCTAGGAAATTTAAATTGATAATACTTACAGGCTTTACAACGTCCTTTCAAAATAAGCATGAAACAATTCATATTTAGTTATTTTTTATTCACTTATCATAAACATATTTATTTATTTAATGAAACATATATTTAAAGTTATTTTATCATGAATCAGAATTTTTACAGAAAATAATCATTTTTAAAATTTTGTACATCTTTCTGCATGAAAACATCATGGACTGTATTGTTCAATGATTGCAAAGCATATATGGGCAATCTGTCTGAGCTCCATCCAGTTTTGATCCAGTGGATGATATCTAAATGTCTCATATCTGCCTACAAATAATCTCTAAAAAATATTTGCAATGATGGAATATTAAGCATGCCCAATTGCAAAGACACTATAGTTACAAATAGCTATGCCTTATTCAGGATTTGAACATGTACCAATGATTTAGTAACTTCCCTTTTCTTACCAATACACAGGATCGCAGAAAACCTCATGAAATAGCATTGTATGCCGTAACATTTGTATTTTGTACTGAATTTAATAAGCATTTTACACATCAAAATTAGGTAACTTTATTTTGGCATAAATGAACAAAACTCTATTGATTTCAGGGGTGACATAACACAGATTCCTCTTCTTCAAGAGCAAAATAATTCTGCTAACGCATTTATTTCATACTTAAACAAATGAAATGAAATAAATTTCTTAGGTAAATAAGTTAAGCATCAGATATGTAACAGTAGAAATTAAATTTTTCACATATGCTGTCAGTACATAGCCATATTCTTTATGTATATGCATTATAAAATGACAGCTCTAAAATTTCAAATTCAATCAATCATGTTGATTAAAAAATCTCTTATTTTATTTAAAGTAGTCAATTTTTTACAATTAAGATTATCAAATTTTTGATTTTAATACACAGAGAAAGAAATTAGGGGCTCATGTAAATATATTACCCTAAAAATATATTCTTCCACATTAAATACTTATTAAATCCAAAGATGACATTCAAAGAATTTTAATATGCAGATTTAAGCTACATGTAAACAAAATGAAAAATGGATTTACATACCCACTATCATAGACTATTCCTACATGATGCCATTCATCATCTGCTAAATTTTTACCCGATTTCTCATCATTCAAAGCCCATGTTTCATCCTTTGGTGAGCGATTGATAACAAATAATGCTACTCCTTTGTGCAGCAACAACTGGAAAAGATTACATGTGAGGTCTGAAATTTTTACACAAATACGTTTGCAGCATTTATAATACATATAAATGCAATAATGTACTAAAATAATAGCCAAAGTCAAATCCTCATCCTTTCATTATTCCACAGAAATTTTTTATATCTTGAAGCTAGTCTCAAATAACAGCTTTTTTGTTCTTCCTTTTAATCCCTTACATGAATGTAAGACTAATTTGAAAATATTTTATCGTAATGTTTATTATATTGCTACAAAATTCCAGATTTTTCTTGGTGTCAAATGGATACTATAGTTAGCTTCTTAAATAAACTGAATCTTTTCTCATATCTTCACATAAAAATGCAAGTTTGGAAGGAAAAAAATGCTTATTCATCTCATTTCCTGTTGTAAGCAGCTACATTTTTTATGGACACAATATTTGTAGCTTTCATCTGTTTTCATCTGTGTTTCACTGTTACATTATATTTAAAATATTTGTTAATTTCTTTAAAGTCTGTAACTTCTTTATGATGAAACAATCCTGCATTGCACACCTACATAATATTTTAAAGACCAGTATTTTACTTTTTCTTTTAATAGAACTGTTTAGCAATTTTAGTCTTTGGAATATCTGGATTTTTAATTATTATTACAATGAATTTTGAATATAAACCAGCTGTATTAGTAATGCTATGTGGGAAAAAGAGTACAGCTGAATTTGGAATTAATATGACTCAGTGAATTAAACATAATTTTCAAGTAACAGTGAATGAAGGCTTTAAACTGAAATACTAAAATTATCCCTCATTATAAATGAATCTGATTACTTAGAAATTTTAGATACAACTGATGATCATTATACAGGATTCATGTACACTTCTGAACATGAAAATTAATTACTTTTAAGGGCCATCAATGAAAAACATTAAGGACCTATCAAGCAAATTGGATTAAAGCAATATCTACATCTAAACACACAAAAGCAATTATCTACATCCAAATTTAACTTTTTTAATTTGTAAAAATAAATCTGTAAGCAGAATGCATTATTATTAAACAATTCTAATTTTTTTTTTTTAAATCGAGAATAAAATTTACTTCATAAATTTTTTCAAGTAATTAGCATTGAGTTATAAAATTTCTTGAAACATTCATATTTAACACTTATAATAGTCCCCCATACCTTAAAGAAGATAATATTTTACTAACAGGAAAATTTATAAAGTTAGCTTTCTTTTTTTATGCCTCATTTCATCACGTACTCACTTAGTCCAAAGATATAGGCAGATTTTTTGGTCAAATAGCATAAGTTAAATTGTCAAGTAAAATAATAATCAGCATGACTCATAAAAGAAGCTTGGCTGTTGAAAGTGTTGAGAATTAGCTGCACTTTAACCCAGTTATGTCATAACTTCATGTAGATTTGCTGATGCTGAAACCCAGTTAATATGCAGTATTTGATATTAAAGTTCCAATAAAGCACTGAAGCACTAGAGATGATAACTGTTTTGTATTATTTTAGTCTTATTAGCTGTAAGGAATGAAGTTTTTAATTTTTCATATTTTTGTATTGTATCTTGCATCCAAAATATGAATTAAGAAAAGCAGATAACTCATCTTAACATGTGAAACAACTTCTGGGTGAGCATTTAGTTACCAATAATTAAATTACACAGCTAGATGATACCATTAGTCATAATAGATTTATATGCTTACAATTACTTTTTCTTTAATTTCTAACAAATATCCATTAAAAAGCACTAAAAGCATTTCGCATCAGTTATAATTTATGATATTGATTCAAAAATAATATTAGTATAAATACAGATTAAAAGCTGCAAACAACAAATGCAATTATGCATCATTTAAATTTTAAAATTTGCTAGGTATTTTAACTAATTTACATCAATTTTCTACTCTGTAATATATTTTTTTTAAGTTCATTTGTTTCAATAACAAATCAATCAATATCCCTACTAGTCTCTGCTTTATGGGAATAATTTGTTAATGTTTCAACAATGTACCTTTGAAAAGAATAATTTGTCCTCTCTTTATTAAATCCATTACATTTTCAATGAATTTCCTCTTCATTTCAGAATTTTTACATTTAATCAATGATTTCTGTAGTTTCAAAAAACTGCTTGTACATAGAATGAATAGAAGACACATCTAAATTTATTTCTTTAATAATGAGAGTACTGAGAATAAATATGAAATGATACAAGGTCAAACTCACCACCAAAGCCAGTGTGGCAGAATTTTTAGAATTTAGTGAAACTCCAAACAACAAAATTTACAGAACTGAATTATGCACAATACATATATGATAAATTTTTTAATGAACTGTCGGTTTTCAATTTTTTTGATTGCTTTAATGCTTGTGTTCAGTGGGAGCTAAACATGCTGTGAGAAAGATTTCTGAAATTAAATAAATAACCCCATCCAAAATAAATGATCAAAGAAGAAAATATAAATAATTTTGTTTTCACTGTTTTTCCAAAAATTCTCCAAAGGATAAGAAATTTATCATAAATTTCCTTTCAAACACATCTATTACATGTTAATATCATGAAGACATTTTTGATTTCATCACATTTTTCTGGAAATTGTAGGTCTATAAATCTTGCCTTTAGATCTTCTGAGATGCAAGGTTTAAAATCAATAATAAAAAATTATACCTATTAACTCTAACAGCCAAAATTCAGAAGATAAAAAAAAGGGGAGAGAAGTGCACAGTGAATTTCAAAAGAAAACTGACACACATTTAAATATTCTGAAACAATTACACATGAAAAAAAATCTCTTATCATGAAAAACTATAAACGAATACAAATGAAATTAATTTTTAAATAATTACAGTAGTATTTTTCCCCCAAGAATTGTTTTGGAAACTGCTTTAACAGCATTTATTTTGTTTATTTTTCAGAATCAAGATATTCCACAGTCATCAAAATGGAAAGTAATAACCCTTTAAAATATGGCAGAAGAAAATAAAAAATATCTTAATCTTATTTCTGAAATATAATTTTAATACATTATCATTGCCACATAATAAAAATCCCAAAAAGGGATAAGTTGTTTTAAATTTCATGTAATATTTTATGAACTCTTCATTTGCAAAAAAGAAAGTATTTTGAAATGTTTATGTTTCAATCGAGGCAGAGCCTCATGCCTAAAACTTGAGTATAGTATGATATTTATATTAAGAAGTAGGAAAGAATTCAAACATTAACTCATCAAATACAAATTTGTCAATGCATCGCCAAAAAATATTCCTCCAAAATGTTAATTCACACTCAAAATGGCAGTCATTAATAATAATAAGAAGAAAGTTGGATAAGTGAAGGATAAGTGAAATTAAGAATCTTTTACTGGTTTTGGTTGAAATTAAGGACACTTAAAGACCAAAAATTGTTTCCAAAAAATCTAAGGACATTTAAATACTTTTAAGGATTGTATAAACCTCGTTATAATGACCTACAAACCTTGTTATAATTACCCTTTGTATCCTACTGAAAAAGGATGTTAAAAAAAATTATAGCTAAAGGTGATTTAACCAAAAAACATCAAGAAAACTTCAAAAACTATTAAATGTTATACAAACAACACAAAACTTTAATGTCATTATTTATTTCAAAAGCATTGCAACAAACCTTCTTCTTACCTCCCAGACACCAATTCCACTTTCTGTTTTTATTTCACCAGAAGCTAAAACACAGTTTCCTTGTAAAGTCTTGAATTCTAAAGACAGCTGCAGTTTTACAGTACTGGGCATTGTCAAAACCAGTTTTGATTCAGGAAGAGGAAATGTCACTGGGATCACATTTGTAAGATCGCATCCATATTCTGCTGCAAACCTACTATAGTACCGAGCTGTGTTATCTCCACTATACAAAGCATACAGGACACTTTTGTCATTAAAGTAAAAATTACGTAAACATCCTATGAATTTTTCCTTTGACTTCAAACCTAAGAAAGATATGAAAAATACCAAGTATAATTACGTATTACTCCACAAACAGTATGAAAAAACTGAATCTCATAATATGCATAATTTATATAAACACAGTAAGTGGGATATTTTACTTTTGTATAAGATGATACACTAAGGATACACAATACTATTCAAAGCAATAAAGGTTTAAATTATAAAGGCATACTAAACTACCCTTTATCATGATGAAAAGATGAAGGAATGGGTATTTGCACCAAAAAAGAGGAAAATTAAAGAATATCTTATTATGGAATATCTGCTAAATTAAAAATACATATAAGAGAGGCCTAGAAAAACTAAAATGACATAAAAAGAAAAAATAAGAAAGCAGAAAATAAATCTGAAAGGTAAACAATGGAACATCAAGGGAGAGGGGATTGAAGTAAATTATACCTAACTAACTTCAGTGGCACGACAGCCCTAGTGGGCCACGGCCAGCAGTGCCCCGAAATCTGTTTTCTTGACCTTGGGCCCTGAAATGAATCAGCATATCCTTGGGCAAGTGGTCAGCTTGTCGCAGGATCCTCACTGTTTAGTCCCCAAGCAAACTTGGTACTCATTTTATTGACCCATTCAAGGGATGAAAGGCTGAGTTAACCTTGCCCAGCACGGGGTTTGAACTCCAGACCTGTGGTGAAGCTGCGCAACGCGTTAGCCACTTAACCAATGGGCGGTCAGTAAATTATACCACTTGAAGAATAAAATTCTGGTTGAATACAACATAGAAAACTGACACACTAAAAATGCAAGAAAGGTAACGGCCTGGAGCGATGTGTGTATATTAAGATATTTTTATGCATTTACCCCTAAGACTCGACTAAGATCACCAATCTTCTCTCCACATTACCATGCAAAAGTAACAGGAAATCCCAGTTCAAAGGACATTTTAAATTTAAACCCCATTCAGATAGTCACAGATTTCTTCACAAAGATTTGGTGTACCTCTTACATATTTACGTAGATTTCAACCACGATCTGCTTACTATAATCCAAACCCAAGATGCAGTAAATAGCAATTATACTCTTTTCAACTGGAATCCTAAGCTTAGCATTACTGAAGAGAATTTGCAGGAGGCATCACTGTTGACATACTTCAGGATGCACAAACTGAACTGAAATATGGCTTGTTCTATACTTTTAAGTATATTTTGAACATAAAGCCAAATGTGTATGGAAATACGCATATACAACAACCCAACAACAATCGAATAAGGGATAGTCTAAGCAACTAACAGAATAAGATATATATAGAATATTAAAGTACATACTCTTACATGAGTTAAGCAAAATTAGAAAACACATTTACTGTAGATACGGAGATGTGGATAAGCAAAATTTTCTGAAAGATGGGATGATGAAACCAAAAAAGCTAAATATCTATTGCTATGTATAGCTTTTTTGTACATTACTTTACAAATAGTAATAAATAGAAACCTTTGTCCTGTTTTAATTTCTTTATTAAGTCTAAAATCATGGGTTAAAAGAGTATCAGGGTCATTTGTGAGATCTCATGTGTATACCTGAGACAAACAGTGCATGCATTAGAAAGCAAAATCTTTGAATGCATCCAGAATGGACAGTAAAGGACAGCCTTAATGTAAGTTAGCCTCAACTTCTAATTTGCAGACTATCATATTTAGACTACATTTAAAACACATTCTCATTTTTTGAGGAATATCTTAAGGTGCTACTTTGGTAGACGGTTGAATGGATACACCCGCAGCGCAGCGTGAAATTGATAAACAGATTTCGGAATGGTTAGAGAAACAAAGGATATGCCTTTATCCATTTTTTGCAGCAATTCCACTTTTTGTTTGATGGACATCGAAACATACTTTTGCTTTGTAGATCCTTTGGGAGCTCCAGAATCGGAAATTCTCTTTGACATAATCGAAAGTTCAAGCTTACTTTTATAAAATTGCTCTAACAGTCTGCAAAAAATAATAAGCCGGATCCAATTAGAAGATTACGGAACAACGCAATCTGCAACATTAACTGAAATAGATAATTTTAGCTTTGCTTATACTGTCCGTTATACATTAAATGCATATGCGCTTGCGTAAAGGTATTATGCACAGAAAGTTTGTATCTTTGAGGTTCGGATTATAGATCATTCTGGATTATGGATGTCCGGATTAAAGACTTTTGACTGTAGTTTTAACTCTAGGCGTGATGTAATCAGCTCCCTGATTGATTACTGAATATTTGAGCATTACCGCACCATTTTAAAATTTTATAATTCATCTCTTCGAATTCCTTAGATTTCATAGGAAATGGATATGTCCCTTTCAAAGATTAATGTTGTTATTGGTAAGTACCAAGAATTATTGGTATCGGAATTTAAAAAAAATTATATGAGACCTTATTCCTAATCAAAGCTTTCCTAATCAAAGATTTATTTATTAAATGTTACAAGGATCATAGGAAATTTATTTTAAATTTTTGGAGGAAACCTCGCTAACTGCTTCTTCAATGAAGTGCGAGAAATGTGGATCACGGATGAAGATCGTTAGAAGAGCCGATTCTGTGGACAGCCGTATATGGTATTGTGGTCATGGTGGAAGAAATAACCGCTGTAACAGTAAAAAAAGTATTAGACATTCCTCCTTTTTTACCGGCAATAAACTAATTGCTGTCATTTTAGCTCTAGGGTATGAAGCATTCTTTACTTATTTTAAAGTATTTGAATTTTAAGTAATATTTTAATTCTTTTAAGCGTTGGTATGATGGTTTTAATTCGATATTCAATTTACGTAATATTTTAATCCAATTTAACATTGGCGCAATGTTTTGATAACGGTGTTTTTATTCTATTTCTTTGCTATATGAAAGTAATAATTTAACCTTACTTTAGTATTTTATACTCATAGTAAATGTATTTATTTACATTCGCCTGCCATCTTAAAAAACAACATTTTCAACAAAAAATTAATCCATTATTTTTAACGATATTTATTTTTTTAAAGTTTCGAATACTACTTTACTAGGCGCAAAATACGTAAAAAAAAATATGTAAAAACAGTATTTTCAAGATGGCTGACAATCGTAAAAACAGCGCCAACAATTGTGCCAAAGTAAATCGCCAAAAATCCGTGCAACCGTCTACCAAAGTAGCACTTATCTTAAATGCAAAACAAATGTTTATATGCATGCATCTAACTTCTAGATATTTAAAAGACCTCTTTTAGCTTGTCCATTTTGCCTTATTGCATTTATTTTTCCAATAATATTTCAGATTACGGCCTTTTTGTGTGTGTGTGTGATTTATATTTTGTAATTTTACTAGCTTTCTAATTTGAAATAGTTTTCTTTTCGCACTAACCCTTTCTTTCTTGCTTTTTTTATGTTTCCATACTGTCAAGCTTTCTAACCTTATGAATCTCCCTTAAAAGTGCTCTGGAATTAATTTCAGTATTTATATATATATATAAATTTTAGTATTTATATAGAGGTGCAGTCTTAGTTAAGTATGCAGTCTTAGTAGTATTATTTTTAATTTTGTAATTTCTGTATGCCATCTTACCAGATTTAAACTGATGATCTATAATCCGGTAAAATTGATAATCCAGAATCGCCGAAGTCCCGACGAGTTGGGATTAACGACTTTTGACTGTACAAGTTATTTTCACAGTATACAATCCACATAATGTAACGACTTGAGTACAATATTTATTTTTGAAGGGTAATTACACTTCTAAAAAGAAGGTAGAGTTTATATTTCTAAAGAAAAGACTGAACATCAGCACGCTAACATTAAAAAAACAGAGATTTGATCCATTAAAATTATATCAGATGCAACGTGGGTAAAATACTTTTGGGTAGAAAAACAAAGATCAGCAACTCTTCACTTTGCCTTCTTTTTTTAAGAGGGAATTTATATACATGCACACACTATACAATTTAAAATGCATACTTTTTATTATTTGAGAGGATTAATTAGTACTTGACTTTTTATTTACTGATTTTTGGGGGGAGGGGGGGAGAATCTAAGTTTTTTTTCATCATTTTTTATTTTTCTGACTTTTTATAATTTTCTAGATGAATGGAAATCCTGTAGTTATAAATGAAAAATAGCTTTGAACCATTAGAGAGTACTGAATGGGACTTTTTTTTTTTAAAAATGCATAAAATGAAATTAACAGATAGAGACTACTTAAAATTATTAAATTTGCTCTTTGAGTTTCCAGTTTATTTACATAATTAAATCTAAAACTAAACATTGATTTTAAATTCTTAATCTTTATTTCTCAATTAATATTCAATTTTTTTAAAAAAAAGTTTTTCATTTGTACAAAAAAAGCAATGAATCCTACTTTATACAAAAATCTATAAAACATCATATTAAAAATATATCATACATTGATTCAGTTCTCTTTCAGGAAATGAAAGCTAACATTATTCTTCACAAAACTGATAAGATATTTTTGAACAAGATATCTTTAAAATGCCACATTTAGAAGAATTTAGAGATAAATATGTAAATTCAATCAGACCTCGAGCTTTCTTGGGTGCAGCTCCTATGTACAACTCAGGATCTAAATGCAAATGATGATGAGGCCCTATTGCTTCAAGTTTGACATGCCATCGAGAATCTAGCTGTAAGCTCACATCTTTTCCATGATGAAGCATTGTCAAAGTGTGCCAGCTGCACATCATAAGTGAAATAAGAAATAAAAATAGTTGTATGCACAGAGAATTGTTTCATTTAATGCAAAAATCATATTGATAACATGTGAAACATTATTTTCAAGTGCAATATAAAATAGCAACAAATTACAACTAACATACCTCCCGTTATGAATTAGATACATCATAAAAAATAAAGTAAAAAGCATAGACAAAACACCTGAATTATATCTTACAATTTTTTGCATTAAATTTGGAGAGGTATTTATTAAAGCAAAGTGCTCAGGGATGTCTTAGGATGGATGCCATAATAAAGGATTTTCTCAGGAAAAGTTGTTTGTATTTACTTTACACACAGATAAGAATACAAAAACCATAAGCAGTGAGCCTGTTCAACACTTGGATGCAAAGCAGTAGGAACTACCATTTTCAGTAATTTTATTTACTAGATCAAAGAAGGTTAACCCACAGCCTGCCCTATTAAATATTGTAAACCCTCGGTATAATTCGTGAAATTTATTTTTTAGAAATTCATGAACATCTCTTTGAATAAAAATAACAAGGATGGCAATGGTAGCTGTCAACAGAATAAAAACTATAACATAATCTGTCTTAAATTTTCAAATATATATATATATATATATAATACAGCACCAAAATTCTTTATTTTAATTTGTGCATTTTCCCTTCCATTCTAAAAAAGATCATTACAAGTAATTACTATTTTTAGAAGAGAAAGGGAAAATGCACAAATTAGAATGAAGAATTCAGAGCTATTGCTAACTTACATTATAATTTTGGTGTACATATTTTTTTGTAAATAACAATTAAAACTTTAAAGTATTACAAATTTCTTGCTAAATAATTATTTGGATGAATTAAATAATGAATTTAAAAAATTTTTCAAGCATTTTATTTAGGGAAGATTATTCAAAATTACTGTAATAATAAGAAAAAATTCAGATTATTGTTTAAAAATTTTGATCTATTTTTTAAGTTTTGTAATTATTTTGAGAATGAGATAAATATGAATATAAATAATTTTTAATTTTTAATAATAACTTAATTTTTAATATTAGTACAGAAAAATGCAATAAAAATTCTGCTTTTGAGAATTAATATAAAAAATACGAAAATTGTAACACTGAATATTGTTATAATGAATATAAAAATACTAATGATTTACGAAACGGTATCATTATGATGAAAGTGAATATGGGCAGTTAAAAAGTAAAATTATTTGAAAATATTAATGGTAAATGAATGAAGTATAAAAGTTAGGTGTTAATCCATCAGCAAGAAGACATAAATTTCACCAAGTTTTGTAATACATGAAAATAGCAAAGTAAAACGAAAACTGAATGTTATAATTAATTAATAATTGTATGCAAAAATACAAGTATGCTGAGGGAGAACTGGTTAAAAAAATAGGCCTGTTTTTAACCTGTGTAAAATCATTCTTTTTATTCTCCTCATACAAGCTAAACTTGAAGATTCTAAACTTAAGTTTTTTTTAATTATTACTGTAGAATAATGTAAAATTTTTATTCATTAAATTTGTAACACCGTACTTGAAAATACAAGTTATTAGTCTTAATATGAATTTTCATATATTCATGTTTATTCTTAAAGTATGCAATAGCAAAGAATATTTATGGCCATAATTCATAATTAATAACTTTGATATACTCGTACAATGCTAAAAGACAGTTAGTTACCTTGTATAAGGAACAGTGGATTTTATCTGCTATTGTATTTAAGCATCCCATAGCTATCAGCAAGTAGTCATACTGAATCATTTGTAATTGATCAGCCCATTTTTCACACTTTTTTTTTTTTTTTTTTAGATTGTTTTAAGATCAGTAAATAACTATTTTAATAGATTTTCATGGATATGTAAAAGAAAATCTTTTGCTGTTATATAGAATGCAACAGTTTCACAAAAGAGTTTGTAAAACTGTTAAGAGAAGAATAAAAATCCCATAATCATGTTCAAGAAAGAATTCCCAACAGCTATGAATTTTTATAGTTATTTCTTGAAAAAATTAGGAGAATATGAAGTTTGGAGACAAAATTTAATGAACTTAAAATATATATATATTTTAAGAAGAAACCAACTCACAAATTTTTAAAGTTGGACTGAAAATTTAATAAGACTCTAAAACTTACATTTATTGTAAAAAAAATTATATATTCAAAATACTGTAATTATTTAAAAAATATCTAGATCAAAATTTCATGCTTTTTTCCAAAATTGTATCGCTCTTTTTTTACTGTTACGAATGCTTGTTTTCTCAAGAAGGCTTCCCTGTCGCTGAGCCATTTTCTCTTTGAAGGGGAGTAATATATAAGATGAAAAAATATATAAATCAAAATTATAACTTGAATTAGCAATAGCCTCGTAATTCTTCACTTTAATTTGTGAATTTCCCCTCTATGTTCTGAAAATAGTAATTGCTTATAATATTTTTTTCTGGGTTGCATCATTTCAAGATTAATCAGTTTCATGACATCTTGCATAATGCACAAAAATTCAGATATGTTATAGCCAATCACAACTTTTAACTTCGTATCTCAAGCTTCTTCTAAATGCATACCTTTTTTTCTGTTTTCCTTTGCTCTTGCTAAACAAACGCTACTTGATTCTCTGTACCATCCACTGTCTCAAGATGGACTAAGCTTTCAAAACTGTGGGGTGTGTATAGCACAAATAATGATATGAATCAAATACTGCATTTAAAGAATTGCTTTATCTAAAAATAAAAATCTATGGCCAGGCCTGGTTTCAAGTGTCATACTTTTATCTATGAAGTGAAGAATCTCCAAGTTATTACAATACAAAAAAAACCACTGTCAATCCATTATGGATATTCCCAAATCATCTTATTACATATACATATAGATGTAGATATACATGTTACTGTAAAAGACAGAAATTGGAGAATGTCAACATCCTCCAGTGAATGTCAACTCATACCAAATATGTCTGTGAAATACCAAATATTTGGTTACATTCTTACGCATTTGGAGCATCACCAGTGTATGTTGACAAGAACAGATATGCTCTGGCAGAGGTTGAAACAAGAAGCCGAGTGGGGACAAAACTCAAATCCTCTGTTCTGCTGCAACTGAGGTTACATGGAAACCATTTGTTATACTGTGAAACACTGCCATTTGTCAGTCTTATGCAAGCTTTGCTGCTGTGTGGAACATTCTTTTCACTTTTATTTTTTTTTTATCATGTAAGATTTATGTCCATTAAAATGAATAAACAAGAAGTAAAGAAAAAATTTTTTTTCCTCAAGAAAGTACGGTAAAATACTTTCTGAAATGACTTCTGCTAAAACTGGGTGCAGTACAACTTTGGATTACAGACGATTAAATTTTAATTACAGTAGAAGTCCAGAAAGTTTGGGGCCAGAGGTTGTGCGGATTTCAGGATAGAAAAGATAAATCATAATATTCAGACTCAAAGTGCAAAATAAATAAGGCATATTACATACATTTAATTAAATTAAATACATTATTGCAATAATTTACTATATGCATTAAATTATTATTACATATATAAATTGGTTATATTATTCATTGTATTATATGTACACAGCCTCTAGGTTTGCCGATTTCGCCTCATGCAAAGATTTCCGGTTTTGGATTCTGGATCACTGTTGCTGCAAAATTTCAACAGCTTTTCTTTATTTTTCTGTATATCATACACAATCGTGTCGCAATTCCATATGATTCTGATTTAAACCGAGGAGTGGAACCTGCCTCAATCTTTTGCAGAATTTGCAATTTTTGCATTACCATCAATGCAACGTGTTTACGTTTTTCAACGTTGCAAGCAGTAAAATCATGAGTGCATTTCTTATCTGTCATTGTTTATGTTTGACTTCTATGCGGCGTAAAAACGCTGCGTTCATTTGTCTGAAAGCGTGGCGATTAGTGTGTCTTTGTTGCTCCATGGGTGTGAAAGGGCTCACACGACTTTGTAACACAAGTTTAAAATATTCTTTGTGGTTTTTGAACAAATAAACGCAGCGCTTTTGCGCCGCATCCAAAAAGTTAAAAGGGGCAAAAAAATGTTCTTATTTATTCCAAAATATCCGGATAAAAAAAAAGGCAGCACTAAATAATCTCGTGAAATAACAAAGCTCAGAAAATACAACAACGTTAAGTGTGAACTTGAAAGAAGAGTGAATCGTCCACTTTTTTACAACGAAGCAGATTAGAGGGAACAAAACTTTTATCATGATGTCAATAATTTGGTATTTCCGTTATGACTCATCATTATTATTTGGTAATTATGACATCATTATTCGGTAAGTATTTTTTCTTCAATATTTCGTACTCAATGTTGTGGTTTCTAGAACCTATAAAGTGAATGTTTATATTTTGAGAGGCAATGCAGATTTCAGGTCAGCGGATTTTCGGTATTTGACTGTATTAACGATAAAGAGATATTAATTTTATCACTAAAACCAGAAGAAACAAATTTACAGTATTATGTTACCAATAATGCATATGTTTAAAACATAATAATAATGCATATGTTAAAAACGCATATGTTTAAAAATTGTGAGTTAAATAAAAAAATATTACATATGAAGTTGCAATGTTGTACTTCAATTTATGTAAATATAAAGTCAAATGAAACAAGGTGCACCTGAAGAAGGTACTGTTGTGAAACCAATGGTCAGTTAAACTCAAAATGTCATTTCATTCTGATAGATCTGCAGTCACAGTGAGATGACAAATATAAGTTCTTAATGGCATACCAGGATTATTAAACAAAGTTTTTCCAACTATAACCTTTGAAAACTAAGCCAGCTGAAGAAGTAGCCTATCATCTTCTTCAAATACTTTTAACGTTTGGTGTCCCAACTATATTGCATTCCAACAAAAGAAGGGAATTCAGTAATCAAGTCATATCTGAATTACATGCTATGTAGAAAGTTGTTAAGATAGTTGATGGAAAGCCTCATTATAATCAAACTAAAGACTCAGTTGAAAAGGCCAGTCAGGATATGCAGAATATGTTAACTACATGGATGAACAATAACGATACAAATAAATATTTAGATGATTTGCAATTAGTTCAATTTGCTAAGAACACTACATACCATGAAAGAATATGTCAAATTCTTTATGAAGCTCTGTTTGACAATAAATCAAAAACAGGCACAACATAGTCATCTTTGCCTAATGATCAAATCACAAAAGTTGAAATCAAGTTAATACTTTTAAATTGTTAATTGCCTAAACAGACAGGAAATGAAAAATTAATATCGTACAGATTAACAATATACTGAATCATTTAAAATGTATATTGTCACAAACAAGCCTTGAAATAAATTACACTGCACCAAGATAAGAATAAAATTTATTTTTTTCAGAAATATATAAAAAATTATTTCCCATTAGAAATAGTTTTTCATTGGAGCTACATTTCTTAATTTGCATAGCACTTAAAATATTTTGGGTTCATACTAAAATTATTCATGAATGAATATATTTAATGGGCTTGACCATGCCAGAGAATGTTCTTTCTCTATTGTGATCAAGACCATTAAATACAGAGAAATAATATAATTATGAATAATGATACTTTTATGGGATCAGGAATGATGGTCACTTCTAAAGGTGCTTGCCATGAGAGGGTTTACTGTATGCTACTAACTGAAACTTTTACTCTACAAAGAGATAATAAGCAATTAGATTTCTCTTTTCCTCTCACCTCAGAAACCTTTCATTCAAGGATGAAAATACTACTTTTTTGTTTGTTTGTAAAATTCTACTACATTATTATAAGAAATTTTGTTATAGGAAATATATACACTGGATCAATATTTTAAGAAATAAATCTATGGTCACCTTTTTTAAAACGCCTAGTTACATAATAATTGACAACAGTGTTCTGATAACTGCTTATGCAACTTAACAGCTGGCATGAACATTACAAATTAGTGAAGATTAAAAAAAAAAAGATTATACATAAGAAGATGATAGAAACATTCTGAAATTTTACATGTAAGTATTTAAGCAAACTTCACTAAGCAATTTCCTGCAAGTTATAAAAGAAGTATCCAAAGAAGCACCTACTTTTACAACTAGCAAGAAATTTATGAACAGACTGATCATTAAAATTAAGCACGCAAACAAGTTCCAAGAGAGAAGAAGCACAGAAAATGTTAGCTTATGAAATAAATAATGGCTGATGGAGGGAAAATGAGTGAGAGAAATTGTAAAAGTTGGAAACCATTCTTAGAAACACTGTCAGCAAAATTGTTTTAAAAGCTTCAGTGCATTATACTTCAATTTCACATATGATGAATCCAAGCAGATTGTTTACGAAAATATTTTCTTTTCATTGTTACCATTACATAATGCTCACAAAATGGTTATGCAATGCTTACAAAATGGAGAGCATAAAATTTTTAAGCAGAATTGATAACATCAAATTTTAAATACTGTCTAGATTAATAATTGGCTTTGAAACATGGATTAAAAGTAGATAATAGTTTGTAAAAATCTGTAAATTAAATAACCACTGAAACTGTTAGATAAATTATTTATCATGTAGGTGAAAGTAGCAGATTTTAGGAAAAATGTGGAAAAGTACTTGCTGTTAAAAATAAAATTTTAAGAAATCAAATATTTCGATTGACAAAACTGCTTAAGAAAGTACACCATCAAACTTTTTCTCTGCAGTATGCAAACATATTTATCATCTGAATAATATATTTATTATGAATCGTTTCTCTATCTGTTTAACATTAAACATTGCAGATGCTCATCTGTCCTTAAACCTTAAACTTTTAAATATCATAATGCAGGAATTTATCAGAAATCAATTTTAAAAAATAATGAATAGGTTGATGTAGTTTCAGTCAAGTACTTCTACACAGAAACACTAGAAAGAAGTTTATGGTTAATGCAAGCCAACAATAAATTAAACATGACTGAGAAGCTTGGGACAGTTTCCTAAAACTATTCTTTATTGGAATTTGTTTACTTTCTTTGTATATAGAGTATAAACCTGACCATTTAGCATTGAACTGATCAGAATACCAAAGTAACTGGAATATTTTAGAAAAATTTTTTTGCCAGAAAACTAGATAAATGAGAGATTTGTAGCACCAGTTAGAGCTCATTATATTATTAGCATACATCCACTTTCGTCAAACAGTATTATATTATTAGCATGCATGCACTCTCGTCAAACAGTACGAATTAGTACCAAAACTGGTTAAGCGTGAAGTCACAACACAATCATAAGAATTTCACCCTTTTTTTTATGTAAATCCAATTGATTGTTGATAAGTCGGTTTAGGACAGTGGCTTCCTATGCATTTCCAAGGTGTGCATTATCACTGGCGGAATAGAGTTGCGTACAGCCGGACGTTCTATGAATGCAAAAATGCTAACTGGATGACTATGACAGTAGATCTTTAAAAAATTAAGCCATGCATGTCAAGTATATGCTGCATTAGGGCAATGCACAAATGGTTCATTAAATCAGTTATGGTTCCTTTGATCATACCTTACTACTGTGGTAACTGTGGCAGTTTTAAAGGTAATACATGCAGCAAAGTTCTGATTCTCAAAGGAATGAGTGCTCTTATTAGACCAAAACCAATCAAACCTCATGTCTATATTGCGTGGTGACTTTGTATAACTTTGGGATGATTGCATGGGTGATCTTTCAAGTACAATCAATATCTTTCAAGTTCAAGCCTTATCAACTGCCCACTGTAGGTTACGTACCTACCATTGTTGTAATGGCCAATGGGGAATCAGGGTTTGATTCCGAAGAATGGTAAAGGAGGATGTAAGTTCAGTTTTTTGCTACATTTTTAATACATAATTAATATTTGGAGGAACAGTAGGACTTCTTTTATAGAACAGTAGGATATTTCCAAAGTTATGGGATCCTGACATTAAAGGCACAACTTGTGATTTTATTTGAAAACAGATAAATAGTGGTGATGCTACATAAAAATTAAATTTTTATATGTTTTATTCCATATTTGGATCTGCTTATGTAAAGAAGGATCTGTTCCATTAATTTCTGCTAGAATGACTGGCACAATTATTTGAAGACATCTCTGCCAACATTCACGTTTGACAGGATTTCATAATCACATGTTTACTTTCACATTTTTAAGGCCTACAAAATACATTTATGCTTGAAATGCATTTTTCCCAAAATATTATATAATTATAAATGTAAGCTTTTGATATTTAAGTTAGTTGCAAATAAAATAACCGTTTTTATAAATTTAGACCAGAAATTTCTTCTATTCACTTTTGGCTTTTTCCCCGAATACAGCAGACAAAGTTCTCAGTTTCAATAACACTGAAATGCATGACTTTCCTGATCACATAAAACATACTTTTTCTGTAATTGTCAATACCAAGTATATTCAAATAGCAGCTGAAATAAAAATGCACATTTTCAGTAGTCAACTAATTAGCTTTTAATGAAGTTAGAAATCGAAGTACCAATAATTACAGTAAAACTCAACTGTTTCCTTAATTTCAATGGAGACCCTAATCTTTATTTTCACAGTTCCAATTTTATCCTAATCTAGTATTAAGAACATGTTGACGATAAAATGGACTAAAATTTTACATGAAATACGTAGAATTTATTCTCAAATTTGAATACAAACAAGCAAAGTCATCATACTTACGCTTCATCATTTAATGAATATCCTATAGTACAGTTTAGAGGGCCATCTCCAAAGTTAATTTCAAAGTGCAGTTGACCTCCATATAAGCTCATTGCAACATAATTTCTATTAGCATGTTCTCCTGGAGCATATAAAAGAACAGAATCTTGGAAGAAAGTCTAGAACGGAATAAAAAAAAAAAAAAAAAAGACCTAATTTCATAAACTACAATATCATAAAAATTATCTCTCGAATTAAAAAAACAATAATGAGCTAAAACGTTACACCAAATATTTATTTATTTGAATGCTAAAATAAAATACGTTGCCTGGTATCCTCATGTATTAGAAAAATAGGTACTTTTCTTATTACCTGCACCTCTATGAAAAGTTTCCAATTTAATTGGTAACTGTGAATTAACAAAAAAGGTCTGTTCATTTATCTTTTCAACTCATTAGTATACTAATTAACTTATAATAAAAAGAAACATTTTATAAGAAACTAAAAATTTTATGGAGAAAAAAAAGTTTTACAGTCAAAAGTCTTTAATCCGGACTCGTCGGGACTTCGGCAAATCCGGATTATCGGTTTTTCTGGATTATAGATCACCAGTTTAAATCTGGTAAGATGGCACGCAGATATTATACATTTAAAATTTTGAAATCGTGATTTATGAAATACATAGCAATTGTGATCTAAAGAGTATCAAAATTTACCAGGAAAAAAAAAAAAAAAAAGCTTAATGTTTATTTGTTTATTTTATTAAAAATTTCTTTCAAAGCGCACATGCGTAACATTACGCATAGTCGAAATTGGAAAATTGCAACCAGAAAACTATTTGGTGTGTATTTGTGATATTTATAATGACGAGAAAATTGATTTAAATCATATCGGAGTTCATCGAGATGAAACACTACATTTTGTAAGGAATTATAAGCCGAATAAAATAAAAACATCTGCCCTGAAGATGGATTGCTGACAGATCAACTTCCAGTTTATTGCGCGCCGCCCTGACGTTTCCCCCCTCCCGCAGAGCAGCGCGAAATTGATAAACAGATTTTGGAATGGTTAGAGAAAAAAATCACCTGTCACTTTCTTCATGCCTTTATCCATTTTTTGCAGCAATTCCACTTTTTGTTTAATGGACATCGAAACATGCTTTCACTTTGCAGATCCTTTGGTAGCTCCAGAATTGGAAATTCTATTTGACATGATCGAAAGTTCAAAATTACTTTTATAAATTGCTCTAACAGTCTGCAAAAAATAATAAGCCGGATCCAATTCGAAGATTAAGGAACAACGCAATCTGCAACATTAACTGAAATAGATAATTAGATAACTTTAGCTTAGCTTATACCATCTGTTATACACTAAACGTGCATGCATAAATGTATTATGCGCATACGCAAACGCATATGTGCATGCATAAAGGTATTATGCGCATGTGTAAAATGTATTTACGCATGCGCAGAAAGTTTGTAGCTTTGAGGTCCAGATTATAGATCATTCCGGATTATGGATGTCCGGATTAAAGACTTTTGACTGTACAGTACACTCCCGATTATCCGTGGAATTGGGTGGCACGGCCGCCGCGGATAACAAATACCGCGGATAATCCGAAAAAAGCTGAAAACGAGTATAGCAAAAGAGAAAACAGTCATTCTAACTTTGAAAAATCATTTTATGTACTACAATAAAACGTAAAATAAACAGCAGGAAATGTTTAACTAACGCTTAATATTTTAGTATATCACTCAAAACTAACCTAAAATGCATTTTGTTAATGAAAACAGAAAAGTGCTTTGTACTTACGAGAGGTGTCAAGGATGCACAGAAAAATTAATACATATGCACTGTTTTAATACTGTAATGTACTATGTAATTACAAAAGCATAACTTACAAAAAGCATAACTACACAATTACAAAAGCATAACTACACCTTTTTGAAGAAATCAGTCATTTGTGTTTGCTGCTTTGGAAGCATTTTCTCTTGATCCGAGATTGCATTTTTCGTAGCATAAGTTTCTCAGCCAACTCCGTGTCGTCTTGTTCTTCCAAATAGTTCAGCAGAACGTTGACTTGTTACAAAGCTGCTTTGTGAGTCTTCCGCATCTGCACAGTGGGCTCTTCTTCGCCTTCACTTCTCTCTCCTTCATTCTCGGTCTCTCCCCTTGCTTTCTTCACAATTTCGTCATCTGTTAAGCGTTCGAAGCCAGGTTTGTTGACGTCACACTCCTACCACTCGTTAATGTTTTCGGCATCGACGTTCTCACCACCCGGCACTGTTTTCACCATATCGGCAAGAGTTGCCGTGGGTGTGTCTACATCTTCATTCTCTTCTTCACAACTTAAAGGGGTTGTTGTTGTTGGCAACATTAGGCATGAGTTTTCTCCATGATTTTATGAGTGTTAACGGTTTCACAGAGTCCCCTGCAGATGCAATATCGTAGATGCTGTCCAAGATTGTGTAGTGTTTCCAAAACTCTTTCAGATCAGAAGATCAGGATAACCTTCCTCAATTTTGGTCATTAGCAGCTTGGTTCGATATGTTCTCTTCATTGTTGCAATGACTCCTTGGTCGATGGGTTCGATTAGCGCAGTAACTTTGGAGGAGAGAAACTTTGCAAAAATTTATCCATCAGAAGACTTTAGCACGCTTGTTACTGGGTGAGAAGGTGCATTGTCGATCAATAGCACAGCTTTTTCAGGCAGGTTTTTCGATTTAAGATGTTTATGCACTTAAAGAACAAAGATTTTTTCGAACCATTCTTGAAAAATGTTTCGGTTCATCCATTCTTTTTTTTTTTTTTTTTTTTTTTTTTTTGGTTAAAGTAATCAATGGGCAAATTTTCTATCCTTGTGCCTTTGAAAGATCTCGGTTTTCTTTTTTCACTTTCCAATGACAACAAGTCTAAGTTCATGTCCACCGGTAGCATTACTGCAAGACATGATAGTGATCCTTTCCTTGCTGCTTTTATGACCCGCCGCTTTACTTTCACTTTCAAATGCTAAAGTGCGAGTGGGAAGATATTTCCACAAAAGTCCCGATTCGTTGGCATTGTAAATTTGTTCAAAAGATAGCTCTTCTTTTAAAACAAATTCTTCAAATTCATGGTGGAAATCGTCGGCTGCTTGTTGGTCACCACTAAGTTTCTCCCCATGAAGTCTAATTTCTCGAATTCCATGTCGCTGCTTAAAAACGAGTCAACGAGCCAGAAGGTGCATCCAAATTTCCTTTCAGGCCTAACAACTCAAAAAAGGTTTTTGCCTTCGCCGCAATGATAGGACCATTTACAGGAGTACCCTCTTTTCGAACATGAGCTAACCAATCTGTCAATGCCGTGTGCTTATCAAAGGTAGAACCCTTCATAGTTTTTTGTGTTTTCATTGCGGAAGCACTGTCCGACATTGATGAAATGTTCACCAGTTTGTCTTTTTGCTTTAGAAAGTCTCGCACTGTTGCTTCCGCGATTCCATAATCCAATTACATCTGCTGCCTTGTAGCGCTGTTTGCTACTTTGGAAATTAATTCTAGTTTTTGTGCAATCATCAAACACAACCTTCTTCAAAAACACAAACCCAAAAAGCACAAGCAGTGAACACAATAAAAGATGAGAAATTAACTCCGACCGATTCGCAAACTCTATCAGGCTTAAACTAACAATGGCGAGATGGCGAGTGGGAGGAAGTCGACGTGTCAGTAAGATTACGATGAGAGAACGCGGTGGAATGGGCACCGCAAAGATGAGTAAGAAATCACTTACTCATCAGAGGGGAAGGTTCTGAGGATGCCTGGGATATTTTTGCTATAAGTAAGCATGATGTTAGCAAATTTAACGTTTCGCTCAGGTTTTTGAACATTTTTATTTTCTTTGCTTTACACTTGTAAAAAAAAAAAAAAAAAAAAACTTTGTGCGACAGGCACAGATAATCGGGAGTCTACTGTACTTGCATTTTTATAGTTGATGAATATTGTTCAGAGTAATGATAAGTAAATATTAAGTGTATAAATAAATGACAGCTCAAACATATGTATGTTATATGCATGCATGGGTTGGCTATTGTCACACATATACCGTATTTGACGGCATATAAGACGCACTTTTTTTCCTAAATTTGGTCTCAAAAAAGTTACCTACATCTTATACATGAAGGACACAGGTTAACTTTCAATACTGATTGCTATTTTTAGCCCGAATAAGTTCTAGACATGCATAACCTTTTCTACATCTGCCATAAATATTTTGTGCATGTGTGAAATATCTGTTGCCAAAAAGCGGCAAAGCTCGAAGCTGATGTCAAAGTTCGAACAGGTTCGACGGTCACATTACGTGTATGGAGCCTTTCCTTCTTTACTTAGACTTTTTTTGACTCAGCCAACAGACGTGTTGGTATCGGTGCTTAAAACTATTTGTTTAAAAAAATTACCCTGGAAAACATGACTACAGGAAATAGGAGATTAAGCTATACAATTCAGTATAAACTAGGAGTGTTAAACTACACCAAAGTGCATGGAAACAGAGCAGCACAAGGCATTTTGGTTCACCACCTACCGAAAAAATGATACGTACTTGGCGACTGGAGGAAGATCAACTGAAGCCTGCTAAAAAACAAAAATATATCCTTCGATGCCCAGCTCCATCTTGGCCTGAACTTGAAAATACGTAAACATGTGGGTGATAGATAAGAGGAAATCTGGGATAAGTGTTTCAACCAAAATGATAATCAATGAGGACAAAGGATTTACAGAAAAACATGGGAATCAGAACTTTTCAGGGTCTGAGGGCTGGTGCTACAGGTTCATGAAAAGGCAAGGTTTATCAATGCGCACAAAAACAACTATTTCACAGAAAATGCCAGCAGATTATGAAGAAAAAATACTAGCATTTCACAGGTTTGTTATAAATTCATGCAAGAAAACTTCTTTTGAGCTCTGTCAAATAGGAAATATGGATGAAATTCCTCTCACATTTGATGTACCATCCAACAAGACTGTGGGTACTAAAGGGTCTAAATCAATAACCATAAAAACCACAGATCATGAAAAAATCCGATATACGGTAGTTCTAACATGTTGTGCTGATGGCACAAAACTACAGCCGTTTTTCATATTCAAAAGAAAAACTCATCCGAAAGAAAAACTTCCAACGGGTGTAATTGTTCATGTTCATCCGAAAGGCTGGATGGACGAAGCTGGAATGAAACTGTGGTTATAGAATGTATGGGCGAGGCGACCTGGTAGACTCTTAAGAAAACCCTCTCTTTTGGTTTTGGATCAGTTTAGTGCCCATAGAACTGAAACCATAAAGAATAAAGCGAGAGAATTAAAAACCCAGATAGCTGTCATTCCTGGTGGACTGACCAGCCAATTGCAGCCTTTAGATATATTGGTGAATAAGCCATTTAAGGAAAAAGTGTGAGAACGATGGAACAAGTGGATAGGAGAGCCACATCAAGCCCTCACACTCCTCAGATTAGAATGAAGCGGCCCTCTATTTCACAAGTGTGCGAGTAGGGTAAAAAGATCTTATGAGGACGTAAAGGCTGAAGTAATTGTTAAGTCCTTTAAGAAGTGCGGAATCAGTAATGCTCTTGACGGAACAGAAGACGACACATTATTCGAAGAAGGTGATACTAGCGATGATGGAAACACTAGTGATGACGATATTCTCATTTTTCGATGATGATTATGATAGTGAAAAGGATTTTTATGGTTTTGAAAGTGATTAAAGTCTAATTTCATGATAGGCAACGCTTCCCTTAAATCTGCGGTTTTTTGTTGTTTCTGCTTTATTTTGTATTATGCTTGACTGCTTGCCGTTCATTCATTTATTCGTTACTTGAAATTTACATATGTTCAAAATAGCTTGCCGTTTGTTAATTTTCCTTAGTAAAAAATGTTGGCAATTGCATTCAATGATTGTTTATTTGGCTTTTACGAAATGTGAGAACTAAAAGAAACCACATTTTAAGTTATTGTGGTACCGTGCTTTTGCGCAAACTATTGAAACTTTTTTCCCTTGTGTGTGGCCTTCTAAATAAGGGTGCGTCTTATATGCCGTCAAATACGGTACTCGAAAATACATCTAACACATAACAGTTCTACTATATATCACACTTAAGGTTGAAGCTGGGGGTGCAAATACTCAGCAAATATTGAAAAATATTTATATATCATGGGTAATTACTCAAAAACTGAAAATATCTGACATACAAAAATAAATTTAAAAAAAAAAAAATTCTGAAAGCTTTCAGATTTTACATTATGCCAAAGGGCTTTTTTTTTAATGCTTTGTGTGCTGCCTTTATTTATTAAATATGTTATTCACACTTAAACCATAAAATTCAACTCAACAGCAATATTGCAAAATAATTTTACAATGAGCATATCTTTAGAATTACGGATACACAGTCTCGCATGCTGAAGATTAAAATGTTTTTTCTGTACAACGTTGCCATCGCTCGCTTTGAAATTCTTGAGTTTATTAATCAAAAATTGGTTAAAATTTTACAAAATATGAAACAGATAATAAAACAAATTCCATATTTCAAATCTGGGCTTCCAGATGCTCATAGTCAGTGGAAGATTACATTATTCAAAATTTGACAGCTCTAGGCACCGTTTTTCTATCACAATGCGAGAAACATGTATACATTTATGCAGATTCTTCATTATTTAATTTCTTTAAATATAATACAGGGCTGTAACATTTGCAGCTTTAAATATAATATAGGGCTGTAACATTGCAACACAAAATGCCGGCTAATAAAATAAATAAAATAAATAAATTAGAAAACTTGAAACATACTCGAAAACTGAAACTAATTCTTGTAACTTCCGAGTGAACACGATCTCTCCAATCATAAACACGGTAAGTTATATAAGAATATCCCTTGAAGGTGACAGTTACTGGATCTAAAAATAAACATAAAAGAAAAAATATTTAAAAAAATTCTCATGTATACAGAATGAAAACAGAAAATAAAACTTCAGTTTTGTTGATTTAGTTTATTGGAAAACAGGCAGTAATATTTTCTATTGATAAAAGCCATTTAACTATAAATAGGGATAACAGAACTTTTCTTGGCACTCTGCCAAAAAGTCCTTAGACCAGGCTGTCCCCAACTTTTTGTTCTTAAGAACACATTCTGTTGGATATCTGTTGGATGGCGAGCACCTTTTTTTAAAAGAAAAAACTTTTTTAAGGTGCATTTATAGCTGGATAGAGTTAATAATATGTGCACATACAAAAAGATATTGGTCGCATTTCACTTTGTGCTGGTATCCGTGTTGAACGCAATTTCTATTTCATTAAAAATGAGAAAACTTTCATGCAGAATTCTATTGAAAACTAAAACACTTTTATTGGGATCGCACAGTGGCAGGCACCTGTTAAACGATTTGCACTTGCCATGGTACCCAGCGGCACACGATTGGGAAACCCCTGCTTTAGATCATGCGTTTGCAAAGGTTTTTTTGGGGAGGGGTCATGCCTCCCTGCAGCCAAAAATGAAATTTTCCAAGGCCCCCTTCTCTATAAATTATTCCAAGGCCTCCCCCTATTATGTTTATGTTAGTAAAAACTAAAACTTCAGCTTTGTATCATAAATAAGAAGAATAAACTTTGAATAAAAAATCAGTTATGAATCATATTTGACACTTCATAATCTACAGATTACAACTTTTAGTTTTTCAAAATTATTAAAACAGAAATATACATATATATATATATATCTTATGATTACAATATGCTAAAGACTTATTCTAAAATCACTAACTGAATATTATTAATAAAAAACAACAATAATTTTTTACAATGAGAAACTGAAATATATTTTATCTAGACTAAAATTAATTTTTTTCATAAAGTTGGTAGAAACTTTTATTAGAACCATTAGTACATCACTGTTAAATTTGAAAGCTTACATTAAAATTAATAAACATACAATTCTTACACAAAATCCTAATGCCGATAGTACAAATAAATTAAATGATACTCATTCAACTGTAAAATTAATTAATTTGATAAAAATATGTACAAGTGTTGGGAAATTTGCATTCCTCCTTGTAGTTTCCTAGTGCTGAAGTGGACAAGTACTGTATAATTCCGCAGAAGAAGCCAAGAAACCTGTGAAGACAGAGTACTGTCCTAACATGCCTTTCCTCTTGGAAGGGGTTGTTGCCTGGTTATTGATGTGGCCAGGCTGTGATTTTCTCCAGCATGGTATGCCAATTTGATACATGGAATGCTGAAGACTAGATTAGGAACAGGAATCTAGCAGAGCGTCCAGAACAGCATCTATATAAGTAGTGCATGAAATTGTTGCAGCCAAGTACATGCTGACTTAAATGAATTGCCAAGTAGTCTCTATGGGCATAATGCAATAGTTTATATCAGTCAAGTTAAATGCATGTTTTTTCATCACACATCATAGGCCAACATGCCCAGTTTATCTGTTTTGTAATATTCAAGAAAAGCACTCATTAAAATCCTTTCATTTTGCTTAATCAAGTATGTTCCTTTGGTAGGCAACCGTATTTTTTACTGTATATTACTTTCAATAACACTAAAAACCAAACAACAATAAGTATAAACTTTTAAAACTTTGCAGCAATGCCCAACTGATAACACAACACATGCGAACTATAATTAAAGTTAAACCACAACAAATACATTAAATAAAAAAACATAGGAACTTGAGTTTAGAAGGAATTTCCGAAGGTACTACTTAAAAAAGAATGTTAAAATTCATAAAATATATACACTTACCAGCATTGAAACAAATTTTGTCTTCATGACCCGTTCCAAAACAGTCACATGATGTGTGGGTATAATGATTAATACAGCGTCCATTATATAAACAAGGATTTTTCTTTTCACAGAGATCCACATATTTATGATGTAACTGATTTTCCAAAATGACTCGAGTAGGTGATAATGGTGTACCTGAATGACTGAACATTATTTTTCCAAGACATCCAATGAAACGCACATAATTATATTTTTGACTTGTAGCATAGTTATTAGGATCAAGACCTGACCAGGAGAGAAAAGACTATAACAATGTAATCAAACATAAAAATTAAGATATTTTTTAATAAAAAACTGTATTATAACTCAAAAATATCATACATCTTTCTTTCAGAGGCAGTTTTTGCATTTTACAAATGTGAAATGCATACAGCTGTTAGTTTAAAAGTTCTGTATTTTAAATTTGTACCAATGACAGCACTGGTTCACAGTCTGAAAAATACTTTTTCCTCTGAATAATTGTGTCTTTTATGCTCGCATCCCAGTAAAAGTGTACAAAAATAATATAGGCACAATAATAATAATACTAACAACAGCAGCAGCAGCAATAATAATAATAATAATGGTAATAATAAATATTACATTTAATTACATCAAAGAAAATCAAAAGCATCAATGAACTTCACATTCATATACTCATATCCAGGTGTCCATAAGTCTATAAATATTTTTTTAATTCATGCAAATTGAAGAAACTGTAAAACTGGTTTGTGCAAAAAGCTATTCTCGTGACGGTGCACTTTTTTTGGTAAAGAAAAAAAATAAATAAAAGTTATTCTCATGAAGGGGCATCTTTTTTTGGCTAGGATAAAGAGCAAAATAGTGTTGTTGCTTATGCTCACTTGTCTGACATAGTCAGCCCAAGCTCACGAAATTCCTCGTGGCAAGCGTAGATTATGCCTGTCATTGGCAACAGCCTTGAGCATCTAACAGGTGACAGTGTGATTTGGCTCAGTTCCGTCCTCAATTTTGATGGACAGCCCCATGAGGCGACAGGTCTGAGGGTCTCCCACTTCTCTCCCCTTCCAAACCACACGAGAGGACTTTTGGCTTGTTGCATATTTAGAGTACCTCCATCCCGCACCGACACTATACATTTACAAACACTCACATCATTTCCGGGATTCAAACTCAAGCTCTTCAGCATGGTAGTCAGCGACGCTAAATACTATACTGGTTGGACAGCGAAAAAAATTGTTAAAATTTCCATCGAGGGAGGATGCTGCATGGGAGAGAATCACAGATTTCCATGAAAAACTGTACTCATTTTCAAGCAGGCAATGTTTACAAACATATCAGTCTTATTCGATGTGTCCGCCATCACCACAAATTACAGTTTGCAAGTGAGTTGCAACACGATTAACTACAGCATATTCGAATGGATGCAGGAGATTTTGCAGTGAATGTCATCCTTTAACTGCAGCAAAAAATGATGGGCTAATGTGGTTTACTCTTGACTTGACATAACCATAAAGCCAAAAATCAAGTGGTGTTAGGTCCAATGGGCAAGAGCCACTCATATCTACAATGATAGCTAATTAATCATGCTTTGGTGAAGGTTCTTCTTAGGGATGTCTTCATTTCAGTTGTGACATGAGAAGGTGCACCATCTTCAATGAATGTCACTGTATCAAGAACATTATGTTTCAGTAAGATCGTTATTGCTTTCTCCTGCAATAACTGCAAGCATTGTTTTCCAGTAATCAATAACTGCAAGCATTGTTTTCCCAGTAATCAATAACTGCAAGCATTGTTTTCCAGTAATCAATAACTGCAAGCATTGTTTTCCAGTAATTAAGTAAGTCTTCCAGCCATCTTTTGCACAGGGCTCTTCAAAGAAAAAAGGACTCACGATAATGGATACAGTGAAACCCCACCAAACAGTTAAATACAGTGAATGTAGGGGCTCCTTAATATAGGAATGTATAGACCTCAGTATTGCCCAGATTTTACCTTTATCACTGTTTACTCTTCCATGCAATGAATAATGAGCCTCATCTTTCCATAAGATATTGAGAACCATTGTGAATCATCACTGATTTTCAATTCAACAATGCCATATTTGATTGCTCTCTCCAAGTGTCCATCCGCACAGCCACATCGGAAGTATGGACCTCTAAACTTCACCACAACAAGGGAGATGACACAAACTTTTCATTTTTTCAAAACGTCATAACAATGAAGTCAGTCTGGCGAGAGTTACTGGACCTGAACCTTTTTCTGTTCCTTCTGTGTCTGAAACTTTCCAAAAACCTCAGTCGGCAATTCATGGTTGAGGTAAAACTATTTCACCAATATTGCTTTATCCTTGCTTGTCAGCATCACAATTAAAATTTTATCTATGAGAAAGTATGAGGGAAAATCAAAAATGAGCTGTTAATTGCAAAACTCTGCAATTTATGGGACTCTGATATTTTTGTTATGGTATCCGCAGTACCCCCTATAAACAAAAACTTCAACTCTTATTTTTTTCTTCCAAAAAAAAAAAAAAAAAAAAAAGCCCTTCACAAGAATAACTTTTTTGCCTTTTGCATTCAATTCTAACAATCCTTCAATCTTTACGAATTTTTAAAATATTTTCAGTAATCATAATAATATATATATAATCATAATAATTTAAATTATATGCATCATAATATAATCATAATCATTATAATCATAATAATTTAAATTATATGTATATATTACTTTATGCTAGAGGCATTTTATGAATATATGCATATATGCATGTATGACATAGATGTTTCTCGAAAGACACAGTGCAAATAGATGTTGCTATTTTTAGAATAGAGAAGGGAAATTAATTTATGCTGCTAATTTAATTTTTTACAAATTCTTAATTTTTCTTACATATTTTTTCCTTACATATACCCCCCCCTTCAACAGAAAGGTTGGGACAGCAGGGTGGAAGAAAAAGCATTAGAAAGAAAGCATTAGCACATGACGAGAGATAATTTGAAAAAATAGAAATCCTGAAATTTTGAGCAAAATCATTGTTTCCATAGTTGCAAAATATAAATTTTGATAAGATTTTTATAATTATTCTAAAAAATGAAGTAGATGTAAAAAATAAGTGAAATTAGTACAGATAAGTAATATGAAATTATGGTAAATGCATGTTAAAATTTATGGGTGATTGTGTGTTAAGTATAAAGTATAGTGAGGGAGTATTCGTTCCTAAACAGAGGCCTGTAATTACCTCTGTACAGTTGTTTCTTTTACCCTCCTCATGCAAGATAATGTTGGAGGCTCTCATTTTACGAGTGTGTGTAATTTTTTTAATATTATTATACTTTTTTTATTGTGGAATGTATTAGTGCAGTTCTCAAAGGCCAGTTACCTTATGCAAGGAAAGAAGGCCTTTCAAGTAACTGCCAAGGCACCCTAAGCCACCAATGCAGAGAACACACTGGTTAGCTCAAGAGGACAGCCCTATTGATGGATATGTTTGCTTCGAAGTATTGCGAGGCCTTCCAGTTTTGGTCAGGAATTGTAAAAGAAAGATAATGGTGAAACCATAATTTCTGAAACTGTTACTCCTATTATATTTATGGTAATAAAATATAATTTATCAGTATGGAAATTAGTATCATAAATATTTATGTGCATTACATTTAATTGTAAGTAATGATTATGTAAAAGTTATTCCGTGAAAACAAGAACCTGAAGAATTATGATTATGTGAACTTTCAAACAAAAAGACTTTTGGATTGAAATATTGAAAATTCAATAGGAGTCTAAAAATTAAAAATTATTTTAAAAAAATTGATATTTATAAATTATACTTTACAGGATCAAAATTTTCTATGCCTTTTTCTTCTTGTAGGGGGGGGAGGGAATATGCAAGAAAAATAAAGAATATGCAAAAGGTTAAATTAGCAGCGTAAATTAATTTCCCTTCTCTACTCTAAAAATAGCAACATCTATTTGCAGTGCGTCATTTTAAGAAAAATCTATGTCATATGACTATGTAATTCTGGTGATGTAAAACTCAAGCAGCCAGTAATAATTTTACAGCAATATTAACTATCCAATCAAAATGCTTTGAGAACCAAAACTAACTCAGCTTGAGTAACGATTTCATCCTGAACATTACACACTTTCTTTCTATGCTTTGCCTTAGCTGGACTGCAGTCAGTCTGCTTCTTCTTTTTTGCTGCAAATCCATCAAAAATGTACAGATGGAGGACAAAATAATAAGAACACCTGTGAAATAATGGAAAACCTTTATTAATACGGGTTGGACCACCCTTTGACTGAAGTACAGATTGAATGCAACCTGGGATAGATGCATAAATGTAATGCACAATACTTAAAGGAATATTACGCTATTCCTTCTGCAGAGCGGTCTCTAATTTCGAAAGTCCGGATGGAGGTGGAAATCGGGAGTGAAGTTTGGACTCCAAATATGCCTGTAAATGTTCAATAATATTCAAGTCCAAAGACTGAGGCGGGCCAGGCGATATGTTCAGTTGCATCGTCATGCTCGCTCTTAGAACCATTTTTGAATACTGTATAGGGGCGTTTCGTTTTGAAAAAAGGCCGTCGCTTCCCAGGGAATACAGTCTGGACATGATCCCTAGAATGCTTGGATAGTGATTGGATGTAATCTTCCCATGCAGAATAACAAGTAGTCCAAGACCGCACCAATATATCGCACCCCATACCATAATGGCACCACCCCCATGCTTCACAGTCGGAAAGAGGCAGTCAGAAAGAAATGCTTTTTTGGGCGTTCTCCAGACATAAACGCATCTGGTTATCTGAAATTGAAATAGGGAGAATGATAATTCACTGCTGTCAGGACCAGCGTTTGTGATCTCTGCACCACTGGCATTGCTTGAAAGTATTAGTTGCTTTCACCAAGGGTTTACGAATTGCCACTCTGCCATAAATGTTCACAGCATGAAGTTCCCTTTTGACAGTTTTTGTTGAAACGGGGTCCTGGAGATGACTGTTCATTTCGGATGTTATCTCAGATAACAATTGCTTGTGCTTTCGGCTTACTATGCACTTCAAGACCCGTCTATCACTATCAGCCAGCTTTGACTTTCGGCCACTGTTGTGCTTTGAAGAAGTCGTCTTACCCACTTTCGAGTATGCTGTCTTAACGGCTGATACCATACTCCTTGCACACCCACAAGGTTTGCTGTTTCCATAACTGATGCTTCACTTAAACACACTTTTTGGAACTCATTCCTCTTTGGAACTCTGACAGGTCTGAC